AAAAATAAGCAAAATAAATAAAACAAGAAGTGGCACCTCACCGAAAATACAAGAAAGAAAGTTTACCAAAAAAAAAAAAATACAAGCAAGAATAAGTAAAAATAAAACCAGAAGTACCCAAAAAGAAATAAGCAAAAAAGAATAAGTAAAAAAGAAAAAGAAAGAAGAAGCCTCCATCAAAGAAGAAGAATGGGTAGTGAAGATAAAAGAAAGAGTGAAGAGTGGAAGGAGGAAGAAACAAAGAAGCCTCAAAATGTTGAGAACTTACCGGAAAATAGAAGCTCTCTTGCCGGAGAAGAGTGGAAGAAGGAAGGAACGGAAAAAAAAAACACCTTGGCTGTCTACTGCAACTCCATCGTTCTCCTTTGGTGCCACACTGCCACGTTTTCTTTCTTCTTTCCCGCGTGTAATGTGGTGGTAATGGGTCTTTCATTTGTGACTTAATAATAAACTTTTTCTCTTGACAAAAATACCCCCAATGCAAAGGAAAACGACGCCGTTTTGTTTGAAGCAGCAAATTAAAAAAAAAAGGTCTTCTCTTTCCCTTTTTCCCGTAGCGTCCTGTAGCGTCTTCTTCTCCGGGCTGTGAGAACTGCTACGCTACGCCGCCACCTCCGCTACTGGCCGGCGTCACGTCGCGTCGCAGGTTGTGGCGGCCGGCCGCCGCTACCCGCTACTGTAGCGGTTTAGCGCAGCTACTCACCGCTATTGACAACTATGCCCAATAGCATTTGGGTACATGTGTTTGAAATAGTAAGGCACGAGCAACTTCAAGAAGGTGACGATTCTTTCTTTCAGCAACCCCATTTTGTTGTGGGGTGTCTACACAAGTAAGTTCATGAATCATACCTTGACTTCGTATAAATTGGGAAAATCAGTGATTAACATATTCAGTACCATTATCAGTCCTTAGTCTCTTGATTTTTTTACCAAATTGGGTCTCAACCATTTTATAAAATTGAAAGAATAGTTGTGGTACCTCAAACTTTTCACGCATTAAGTAAACCCAAGTTACACGAGTGCAATCATCAATAAAAAAAACAAACCATTTATTACCAAAAGAATGAGGAACCTTAGAAAGACCCTAAACATCAGAATGAATAAGATCAAAAGGTTCAACACTTTTAGTAATACTAGAAGGAAAAGATACACGATGATGCTTAGCAAACTCACAAACACCACGATGAAAAGACTCAACAGACTTAGACAAAAACAATGATAGAAATAAAGACTTGAGTAAACTAAATGGAGGATGTCCCAAGCGTTTATGATGAAGCCAAATCAGAGAATCAGCAGTTGACTGGCCATGAGACAGCAAGATGTGATCCTTAACATTATTTGCGGGAGATTGTGACACCAGATAGTACAGCCCACCTTGCTGTTTAGCACCCCCAATCGTCTTCCCCGTGGCGATATCCTGAAAAACACAATGAGTAGGGAAGAAGGTTACAGTGCAATTCAAGTCTTTGGTAATTTTATGAATAGAAAGAAGATTAGTAGAGAGTTTAGGAACATGAAGAGCATCTTTGAGATGTAAGGAAGGCTGTAAATGTATGTTACCAGAACCCGCAACTGATGTATGTGAGCCATCAGCTACGGCTATTGTGTGAGTGCCAATAGTAGGGTTATAAGAAATAAAGGAGTCAGCACAGCAAGCCATATGATCAGTAGCACCAGAATCAATAACCCCAGAATGTTTAAAATCAGTACAAGAAGTAAGAAAAGAATAAGTATTGGAGCTCATACCAGTCATAGCCAAAACACTAGTACCAGATGGCTCACTCAGAGAATCAAGAATGGTCCGGAGCCGTTCCAACTCATCTTGACGAAATGCAGGTTGGGTCTCATTAGGTGCATGAGCTATATTAGAGGAAGTAAAATGCGCTTGACCTCGCATCCTTGCCATCTTTTCTAAGACCTTTTGCTTTCCATGAAGGAGAAAGCATAGATCCTTGATATGACCTGTTCTTCTACAATAAGAACACCAGCAATCATCTTTCTTAGGTCTAGAAGATGCACCATCAGAAAATTTTATAAAAGAACTCCCTTGAGAAGAACCATCCTTTTTTGTGGAAATCATAGCAGACCCATCAGTGGGTTTAGAAGCAGCACCATTATGTGATGACAACATGGCAGACTTATCAGAGTTCATCATAACTCCCCGACGAGTCTCCTCCCCCCGAACAGTATTGAAAACAACAGAAAGGGATGGAAAAGTATCTTTGCCAAGTATCTGAACCCGAATAGGATCATACTCGGAATTCAACCCAGCAAGAAAATAAAAAATATGCTCATTTACCACCTCCTTGGCTAAGGCAGTAGCATCTGTAGTACATTGCATCTTCAAACTCTGAAATTGATCAAGTTCAGTCCACAACTCCTTCCAAATACCATAATAAGTAGTCACTGATAAAGAGTCTTGTTTAGTAGAGAATATTTTATTGCCAATTCGTAGCGCGCAACCATATCCTGTTTCAAAAAATAAGTTGAGCGAACAGTGTCCCAAATCTCCTGAGCAGAAGACAGAAACATACAGTGACGACCCACTTCAGGAGTCATTGAGTTCCATAACCAAGTCATGATAAGGGAATCTTCATTATCCCAGAAAGTAAACTTCGGGTCATTTTTCGCAGGAGCAGGGCCATCAAGATGAGCAATCTTATTGCGACTCTTGATGGTAGTGCGAATAAGCTGGGACCACGACAAGTAGTTTGATCCATCAAGGCGATAGCTCTGATGTAGATTAGGAAGATCATTGTGACCAAGCGGGGTATCAGCAGACTGTGTATTCTATGAAATCATAGACTCACCATCATTCTCTGCCATACTGCAATGAAAAAGTTAACAAACGGTGACAGAATCAACCAAACAGAAAATCAGATGAACTCCGATGAGTGAATAAATCACAGATCCAGAGAGAGAACACGGAGACGAGAAGAATGGCGGTGGTCCGATCCAAAAACAAGGTTGCACGTGCCTCCATGCGCCGGTGAGACTGGCTGCGGGTGGGCTTCACGCGCTGAGGAAAGGGTGGCGCGTGAGAGCGCATAGAGAGGCTTCTCCGACTGAGATTTTTCCGGCGTGGACGTCCGGTGAGCGCGCACCTGTCTGTGGGTGGTCGCGATTGAAAAGTCACCTGAAAGAGGTCCAAACGGTGAACACAGATCTGATTGGAGGCAGTCAGAGGTGTTTTGGTTGTTTGTGGCTGAGAGACGGTGCATAGAATGATAGATCGGAGAAAAATAAGGTCAACGGTGGTCTTCTTGGTCCAAAAGGTCCCCGGAAATTTTTTTCCGGTGGCGGCTGATGGCAGCAAGAGGCAAAGAAATTAGGGTTTTGCTCAAAAGGCAATATGCGCGGAAGCAGAGCCCTCAGGATCGAGAGCTCTGATACCAACTTGAAAAAGGTAATCAGATATATTATTGAATTGTATGTAAACTGTACAAAGGGTTCTCTATTTAAAGAGACTACATGACCTAATGGGCTAAGCCCAATACAACAAATAGGGCCGACCCAGTTCAAGACCCACTCCGTGAGTGTCTGGGGAAGGGAAATTTGAGTCAAGCCTCACCTCTGCTTTGCAGGGGGGCCGAGTCGAACCCCTGACTTGGAACACCACGGTAAGCAAGCTTACCACTGAGCCAGGCCGGCCCAATACAACAAATAAATAAATAAATATTATTATTTACAACAGCAAGAAATAGAAGAATGTAATTATATCATTTATTAATGGAACAAACAAAATAGTGGTGCACACTGGCAGTTAGATCATACATGAACTAAAACACAAAAACAAAATGGAGCTCCGAGCCCTATTGCATGAGCTCATTTTACAAGTCAAATCTTGGCAAGATCAGAGATATGCAGTATGTAAAGAGAAAAAATTTCAAGCCACCTGGGCTGCATCCCCACCCCCAAAAGTGGCCTACTGCACAAGGCTCCCCCATTTGTGAGGTTTGGATGTATGCAAACTTGCTCCCGTCAGCACAGAGGCTGTTTCTGTGATTAGAATCCATGGCACCAGGTCACAAAGTAGCAATCTTTCGCTAACCATTATGCCAAGGTTCACCCTCCCATCCCCATTCACCATCTAACTAATGTACCACATTAAGAAAACCACTAAAAGGCTTTATAATACTACAAGTTACAAAAAGGTCATGCTAAAATCAAAATGTCAAGAAGAAAAATGTTGCCTAGCCAAAAGAATGGTCTTCCATCATCAGGGAAATCCTTCTAATTTTCTCTAAAAATGAACCACTTGTAAAATTCAAGTCAAAGAGTCCAGACCAACCAGACCATTACCACCTTCCAAGCAACCTGATAGCCAGTACCAAAACACCCAATTCTGTAGGGTTCCACCATATATGTTGCATAACCAAAGTTTTAACAAAACTGGCAACAATAAAAAGAAGGATAATTCACTATTTTCCTTGTAATATTCAAAAGCAAATAGCTCAAGACATACTATAAGTCTATCCCTATCTATCACACAGTTTAAGGAGGCTGTCCTAACAAAATGCACCACATACGGAATTTCAGCATGCCAGAAATAACCTTATGAAGGTAAACTCAATCTTTTTTCTCATCATAAGTAACCTCATTATCCTCGTAATCACCACAATCCTAGCATGCTATAAAAGAGATTATTAACCTTCCACACAAAATTAAAGTGGCACTCTTCCCAAAGGTAAACTATTAATCAACAAACACCCCCAAGAAAATATCTTGCAATCCCCAACTTCAAAGAAGCTTTAGAAAAGAATCATAGCCACTCCTAATATTTTAATTATTTATTTTCACAAACAAATTGCATCTCATGAACGGTTGCTGTCAGTATTCCACCTCAACAAACATTTCCTTGATAAACTGGACCAATCTCTTGCCTTCCTCCTCTCAAATTTCCTTTATTTGGCTGAGGGGGGAAAAATAGAACAACGCGGACAGAAACATAATGCTAGTAGATATAATAAGTAATCAAAAACCTCAAATAAGTCAGTAACCTTTAGACGTCTTGCAAGCTCATTAGCATGCAAAACACTGGCAAGCTTTGACTGCCCATATGCAGACAAACTGTTATACCTGTACAATTTGAAGATAATTGAAAATATCAATTGCTTAGTTTCAGATACAATTACCAATGAGAAGGGGAACTCATAAAGATAAAAACTATTGACGGAAAAAATATGGTTGACTGTACTAAATTTTAGGACATCAAACATATTGTTACCCTGATTTGTCATTGATTTTATTGAATCTAATCCCTTCAGGATATGATAATTGATGCCTTCTTGATGAGACATTTACAATCCTTCCCTCTTTTCTCTGTTCAATAGCTGTCCGTTTCATTGTTTCCAACAATAAGTTTGTCAAAAGGAAATGACCTGCATGGAGAGATCCTTAAATCTCAAATTCCATTATAAGAGCAATAAGGTATCTGATGGAGTTGCTATTTACAAAGGGAAAATCGATAGAATATACAAATTCATAAATTTCAAAGTATCTGATGGAGTTGCAGAAGTTTCCTCAGTATTTTTTTTTTTTACATAATTCATAACAATTTTAAATCATTATCATTTTAATCCCACAAATGATTACAGATATGTATTGACCAACATTTAAGATGCAAATCTCACCTATGTGATTTGTTGCAAATTGTAATTCTATATTGTCTTTGGAAAGCTTGAATGGCGTTGCCATGATTCCTGCATTGTTACTTAGAACAGTAAAAGAAACAGATAATTTTCAGTGTATACAATCGCACATACTAAAATTTTACCATCTAACATTCTTCTAGTGAAACAACATTTCGGTTAACTGATGAAGTCACAGAGAATACCAAAACTTCCATTCCTAAAGTACATACTACATGAGCAAGAAGTAAAGTATCTGCAGTAACTTACACGAGTATATTCAGAGGAAGACTACAAGAATTGAATTGTAATGCAAATTTCCTCACTGATTCCATTGAGCTTAAGTCCAGCTCCATCACGTCAATTTTTGCAGTTGAATTATTTCTTAATATTGAATCCTTGATCTCCCCACCAGCTTCCATATTTCTAATCCCCATAACTACATGGACACCACGTAATGCTAGTACACGTGCAGTTTCAATACCAATACCACTAGTTGCTCCTGCAGCAACATGGACAACATGATGAAAAAAGTCATTTGTACCAAATGCTCATAAAAAAAATTAACAGAAACAAGTTTAGCACCATGGTGAATTCCACCAACATGTATTCAAATATACAAAAACATTTGTACCAAATATATATATATATATATATATATATATATATATATATATATATATACAGGGTCAGGATCATTTTACACCAGTGTAAGTTACACTCTTAATCTCGTGCATTACTTATATCTAAGGGCTCTAATTTTTTAATAATATAAGCCATTGGATACAAGTGGATCAATGATTAAGATTGAGTGTAAGACTTCTAACTCTTACACCGGTGTAAGAATATCTTGCCCCATATATATATATACACACACACAAAAACATACTTGACATTGCAACACATGCCTGAATATATTCTAGCTAATATCAAACACATCTATAGCAATTGATATAAATACATTAACTTTTTCCTATTTATAATATAAAATAGCATAGCACTAACACTAACACTCATTAAATAAAGCAAAACAATGCATCCTTGAGAGTATGCAGACTAGAACTTCAAGTAATCATTAGGCATGTAGAGGGACTGATGTGGGGGGTCGCTAAGAAATTGCAGTAATTCATCTTCCTCCTCTCTGTTTTCACTCCTACAAAATAAAAATTTCAAGAGTTGGAAAACAAAGGTTGAAATTTGAAAACAATTTTTTTTTTATGGCTTTGAAATACATAAACCCATTTATATAAAGTTCACATTTTTAACATGAAGGGCAATTTCCCATCATAAGAACAAGAAACCAATCATGAATAAATTAAAGAAGAACAGAAAAAATAAAATAAAGGAAACCCATTAACATCCACACCAAACCTGTAACAATGGCAGTTAGGCCAGTGCCATCAATTCCCTGAGTTACTTCTTCAGCAGTAGAAGAAGCTGAGAACCCAGAAGGTCCTTTTCTGCTGAACCACCACATTTTTTCTTTCCTCTTTGTTCAAAGTTCACATCTTTTTCCACTATATGCTCAATAATCAATATACAAACGTTTCGAGATAATGTTACTTCTTTGTATTGATGCAATAGTCAAGAATCATTATTGGATTTAGTGAACAAGTTTTCCTTTAAGTTAATGATTTTTTTTTCACTTTTCTGTGAGTGCTGTATAAAAAAATTGTCTGGAATAAAAATAGAAATATTAAATCCTTAATTAATTTTCTTTATAACAGGTTGGATGATTTATAAAGTTAATACTTTTGTATTCTTTTATTTAATTACAAATTTTTATCATGAAAAATGCATTATTATGTTACTTGTGATAAATAGATTATATTAAATTATAGTTTTCAACTCTAGAGAATGATTAACTTACATTGAAGTGATAATAATAAGTTTTATATTTATTATTAGTCATTGATGTTACTTGTATCTAATGATTTTCGTGACTAATAAATTAAAATTGTTAAATGCAAGTGAAATTGATGACTAATAATAGATGGAAGTTGATTTGTTCCTATGTTATAAATATGAGAATGGTTATACTTACTATCAATTTAGTTTTATTACTCTTACTATGTCTTACTATATGATTGTTACCGTTGAAACAATTTAAAATCAATGGGAATTTTTTTTTTTCCATTTTTTAACCACTAATTTTAAATTGATCCAAAAGTGACTAATCATGTAGTAAAAGTAATAAAGTTAAATTGACGCAACAGTATTTTATGTAACATTTAATACAAATGTTAATTTTGATTTTTATTCATTTCCATTTTAGCACGGCTACAAATTTTCTTTATATTAATTTTTTGGAAAAAGTTCACCAATGCTCCTGTAGTTTACTTCAAAATCACTTATGTTCCTGTTATTTTTTTTATCACATATGCTCCAGTGGTTTGTAAAAGGGTACATTTTTTTATCACATATGTCCATGTGGTTTTTTATTTTTTACAAAGCACAAGGACATATGTGATAAAAAAAAACTACAGGAGCATATATGATTCTGAAACAAACCACGTAAGGATCGGTGAACTTTTCTCTAATTTTTTAAAGAATTTTCATCTTTATCTTTTCATGTCTTTAAACCTTACCAAAAAAGTTTACACCTCGCTCGTCGTTTCCCGCGAGATACCCCTATTTCCATCCGACGAGAGTTCTCATGATTTTATGCAACGTTGTTGTTACCAAGACCGGCGCTTTCATTTGTTGTCTGCGCCAAGGAGATGCCCTTAACATTCGTCTCTGAATTGCAATATTTGCCGCCTAGTTCTCTAAGCTTGAGTTGCAGGTTTTTGAATTATAACCCTCCCTTCACCATCGTCTTTGCGAGCTCTCAAAATTGCAATTGGTGTGAACCTTGATGTTAGTCCACCACTCATTTGCATCCCCCTCTAACATATACACAGAATAAAGAAGTTTCAGCTCATCTTGGCACCACATGACTCTAAAATTTTTCTCTATAGCTTGAAGCTAGTTTGTTGCGTCAATAGGATTGCGAGTTCCACTGATTGACGACGGCTTGTGCTTTATGAAAGAAATCAGCCTTCTCTCATGTGCCTCAGTTTCATTAGCCTGTACTTGAACATTATCAACATGATGATTAGGACCAATATCACTACTGGCATGGTGACTAGCCTCAACATTCAAATGAACAACACCATCGCCTCCTGCACCTTTTGCATACAGAACCTGTGGTTGTGGTTGCTGTGGTGGTGTATGTGGTAGAGGTGGCGGCTGATTGTCATTCCTGTCTGCCCTCATTTCCTCCATCATCAGCCTCATCATTTGAACATTACTTATCTTATTGGTCTCCATCACAGCTTGATCGGCCTGCCTGTTTGCTTCTAACTCTACTTGTCTAGTAACAACCATTTGTTGCTGTATTGTAGTCAAAGTTGCAATTATAGGATCTGGCTGTGGATTTTCTACTGCCCCACGATTGTTCTTGGTTCTCGCCATGATACTGCATATGTTACAAAAATGAATGAGTTGACCAGTCTCACACTTAGTGGTCACATATGCGTAATCATAACGAAAGACATCAGTAAAACATCCTACTATATTTCACTTTCAATATCATGACTCTACATCCATCGTACTTGGAATGAGTCGTCACCCATACTCAGTATTCAGCGATGTGTCATTATGTCACACACTAGGAAGCGATTCACTGAACCGACATCTCACTCAACATATCCTATGATGTCTCTGCCTAGAAAATTTGCTCTAATACCATAATATAACGCTCCAATTTAAAAATCGGATTGTTAACTTAATTTATGATAATAAAAGCACATCATACTTGATTAAAGTAGCGGAAGGCTTAAAACCAAGATATTACAATAATTCTCGATAACTACGTACTCAACTTTCTCTTTTATGTAATTACCATGCTTAATTTATATTATATGTACAGTCTCATACCTGCACAGATTTAAGTTTGAATTCCATGACCATAATCAATTATCAATGACTATCCGAATATGATATAATGTACCATTTCAAATAGGGTCTAACTGACAATATAACAGTTGTAAATTGGAATAAACTACGGATTGAATCCCTCTATCTTACCTTGTTCTTGAGATACAGAAAAGTCCATCCAATATACCTGTCCTGAATATGGCTTCGTTCCATTACAAATATCAACTACTTGACTTGATGACACACATACATATATGTGATCTTGTCATAATACATAACTGCACATCAGCTACAAAATGCCTCTCAGAATGATTAACAACTGAATTCATATGCATGATCATATATGTCATGCACTACAAAGACATGTTATATACAGTAATCCACATAAGCTACTGTAAAACTACTGCAGCTGAGTGTCCTATCACTCCTGCACTAGCCTCTTGCCCTGTAAAGGCTCTCTTGCTACTGAAATACCTGAAATATATCCCTATAACACGGGGTGAGAATGAATCTCAATAAACTCTGGGTTTATAGAAAAGTCTCCACCAATGAGTTCACTTCTTGCATGAAAGGTCAGATATATAACATATAATATAACATGTAATCTTGTCAATATATTACAGACAGAATTATTACGGAAGCATTTGTACTCCCCACATGATATTATTATGGAAGAATTTGTACATCCCACTTGATAACTTACCACTATACAATTCAATCACTTCATTTACATACTTGTCTATATGAATGCATATGTATGCACATAAACCAAATATCTAACACAGCCAATCATACAAACATCTGAACCATTATCTATACTGGACTATGGTGGAACAACAAAGACGATTAAACTCCTAAATCAAAAGCTTACTTGGATTAGCTTTCCTTGAAAAGTAACTTGAAATCCAGACTATGATTTACTTGCAACTTGCTCTCCTAATATCAACTCTCTTGATTGACCACTTGAATAAGTTAACAAGACCTAGAATCAACTTTGAACCATGGAAACATCACAAACACTCATTAAAAGAGGCATATGAACTCCTAATGATGATTTAAAACATAGGCTATGATCACGAGATCCTATACTACAAGTTTTGTGAAATAAAATTTATGTAAAAAGTGGCTAAAACTAGATGAAATATGTGGGCTTTGATAATACAGACTTGGGGTAGGAAATACGTGGAAGGTGACGAGTATATATAACCTTATAACGTTAAAAGAAAACATCAAGTCCAAATATTCGTATGATCGTAAGAGACTGCATGCCGTAAGAGACTGCATGATGTTGTTATCTTGTAGTGGCAAGCATCATGTTTAACATCATGGGACATCATATACACTATTAATTATGATTAACTAGAAAGAAATGGAAACATGAAAGAAAAAGTAATGTATATTCCATTGAATGCAAAAGAAGGTACAAAGGTATATATATATATATATATATATATATATATATATATATATATATATATATATCCATTGAATGGAATATACATGATGCTTGTACATACATATATATGGCTCCATGGAATATACATGATGCTTATACATACATGATCCTATTCTACATGATGCTTGTACATACATATATATGCAAAAGTATATGATGCTTGTACATACATATACCTTTGTACCTTCTTTTGCATTCAATGGAATGTATATATATTGTACATACATATATATGCAAAAGTATATGATGCTTGTACATACATATACCTTTGTACCTTCTTTTGCATTCAATGGAATATATATATATATATGACTTATCATTTCTCAAGCTGCTTGAGATAATTTTATCTCCGGCAACTAAATCATAACCATACAAAGATGGATAAATGGTGATAAAGAAAGAGAGAGGAAAAGAAAATCATAATCATTCAAAGGTGAATCAATTAATATAAAAAAATAAATAAACAAAACGACGTAGTTTTGAAATGGCCGAAGATAAACTTATCTTAAGCTGCTTGAGAAATGTTTTTCTTTGATATATACACAGAGAGAGGCCAATTTGGCTGCTAAACATATCATCATCGAACAAACCCATACATGGGGAAAGAACGTGACATCATCAAACCCATTACATCATTTTGTTTATACTTTTTATTATCATGGCTTCAGAGAGATGCAAATCTTGCTCTATTAAATGGGGAGGAAAAATATCATATATCATTTAATATAGCATTTGTACGTGATTCCTTTCATGAAGTCTAGCAATGGGTTGCTCGTAATCTAGGTTAAATCAAAATATAGCCTTACACGTAGCATAGAGTCAATTTTTGTCAACATTAATCCTGACAAATTAAGCACAAGAATATTTGTTTGCCTGGCTCCAAGACTCTGAAAAAGTTAAGGAATAGGAATGTGGATATATATATTTTTGTTTTTTCACCAGAACTTTAGACCTCCATTTTTATTTATTTATCACTACTTCAGGGTTTGGATAAGTTTTCCATATAATTTTTTTTTTTGGGATAAGAAGTTTTCAATATAATGAAAAATAGTATATTTAACAAAATTTTATACATTTACTTATATAAACTGGAAGAGCATGAGCTAGGTTGTATATATAAACTACTGACGATAAAAATGTAGATCACTACATATGGCACCCCTGTTTTAAATACA